AAATCCTTTTGATCGAGCCATTTTGACTAAAATGAGGGGATACGTGCGCGAATCAAACGACCAATTTCCAACTTGGAATTTTGCCTGCAGAAGTAGTGAACTATTCATAGATAATTGCATGCACATACTGTTATGTTTTTTTGCAATTATTAATCAGATCTTTGTTAATCACATGTAGTGACTAATTAATTTAAATTTTTGTAAACAATAAAATAGACAGTTTTGAAGTAGGTAAGCTGTTGTGTAGTTTACGATATAGATATAGTTTACGTTGTATTTTGAGGGCAATCGTCAAAATTAATTCTTCACAATCTGCTTAGATTTATGATCACACTAATCATTATAGTGTTTATTGTGCATTGTTGTAAAAGCTATATTTTAGTTCTGTAGGTAGTAAAAAGTTTTATATGAGTGTGCACTCTAGTTTTGAAAAGGATATAGACTCCTATTAATCTAAACTCTCCTTTCCTCATCGCAAATCGAATTGGGACATGGTCAAAAATTTAGTGCTATTTTACAATATAACATATTATAGGATCATATATGTGATAACACAAACTATAGAAATCAAAGTCTTAAACGGTCTAGTTGGATCTTAAATGCTTGTTAAATTCTTGTGTGAATTTATATATTATGTATGTAGTCCCCAGAAATGCGTGCCGAAATAATTTTTCATTATTAAAATTGTTTCGAAAATGCGAATTGCATCAAATATTTGTTAAATTGCTAATCAATTTGACTCGTAATAATACTGCGATAGTTTAGTAGAATTAGCGTTTTCAAAGATCGAAAAATTATTTCGGCGCGCTTCTGGGGACTACATATATAGTATATAAATTCACGCAAGAATCATACAAGCATTTAAGATCCAGACCATCAATATTAGGTTGCTCCTCACCCTGATGAAGAGGACTACAAAGTTCACGAAACGTTAGCATTCCGAGAATGGATCTGGACACGGAAGAAACCCGCGAAATGCATAATCTTTATATCTAGTTAGACGTTTAAGGCTTTTATTTCTATAGTTTGTGTTAATGTTATTTTGTTATTAATTCTTTGCTCTATAGCGAATTTTGTTTCTGCAATCGTTTAAGAAAAAAATATAACGCGGGTTCAAGTTAATGACCATTTAATAGTGTTTTCTCTTGGCTACACTATCGCCCATCAGTGCAACACTCAGACAGTGTAACATGTGTCTGTGGCTATAGTGTAGTGCAAATTTTATGCACGAAATAGGATTTTGCTACACGATCTCAAAGAGTCGGTGTAGAGTAGTGTGACATTAAGTAGAGCCAGTGTGGCATTAAAAATTTGAAAATGAACATCAACCAGCAGAATTAAACACGATAGCATGAAGTAGCAGAAGTGTACCAGGGTGTATGTACACTTGTGTAGTGCAGCACTGATGCAACACTTATACGCAACTGATGTAGTGCGAGGTTATACTCCGTTGGCGATCTTGCTGAGCGCACGAAGAAATTGTAATGGCATGGCCAGGCGATCACCGTCCAAGCGTTTCCCGCGGTATTAATACTTCGAGGGCACTTAGTCGAGAAAAATGAAATCTTCTCTGCTTTCCAAATTTTTAATATTAAATAGGCCTCGAGCGCGAGCGAACGTGTTTACAGCGGATACAGAAAGGATCTTAACGGTAGCGCGGCGATGACTTTCTACGAGACGAGATGCGTGCAGAAGACGAAAACAAGTTTATTTTTTTTTATTGCCAAGACGATCTGATATTATTTTTTTTAATCGATTACGTGACGCATGCGTTTAGCAATCGACATCTCGTGACATTCATCGATTTTTCATAGATGCGATTAAGCGATATAACTAGACGTCGTGAATCAGTAGAGATACCGAACACGCCGCCCGCCTTGAAAGGATTCACTTTCAACGTGACATATAAGCATGAGTTCGTTGGCGTAACGCGTAATGAAACGCGAATTACTCTGATACGATTTAATATCACATTTAATCATTGCATTGAAAATCAACGCGTATTAACATCTAAGAATGCAAGCGATATAATAAATGAAAAATAATATAATAAGACATCCTTAATGAATGTAAAGGAGGCCTGCACAAGATAGGATCAGAAGATAATAGCTAAAGACACTTAAAACTAAATGTTTGATAACGCGTCGACTAAGTTTAAATTAATAATATTGATAGTTTAGACAGTAGTCTCACGTAGGAACTCTTGGCAATCTTGCGGTGCGCGCGATGTCGTCGGGACCAGAATGAATCTCCTGAATCCGCCCTACTGAAGCGGAGTTAGGTTCGGTTGCCTTATGAGCACAAGTTGATTGGTCGATAACTGAGCTCCCTTGTTAGCCATCCATTTGGTTCAGACTTGTAGGGAAGATATTCATTACTCTACCTGCGCCAAAAATGCCGCCGGATTTACTCTACGCGTTGCCACCGTAGTAACTTATTTTCGTCGCTCAAGTCAACACAAGAAAGAGACCATTTAAAGTAGTGCCAATCAAGAAATGTCCCGGACTTAGATACGCTACGTCGTTAGGGCGCTTAATGGTAAGAGGGGACGCAAATTGAGGATAGCCTCAATTTCACAGAGAGTCGTTTGCATTTTCTCAAAGGTCAAATGAGCCTTGCCCACGATCCGAGTCATGTGATATTTTGCAGATTTTTATGAGAGGCGGCTGCCTCCCATAAACCTCCAAAGTGAAGTGCATTAGGCGGAATGAAACTCCAAGAAATTTCTAATTCGCGAAGAAAATTTTTAATCTCAGACTGGACTTGTGGATCATTGTACATGTCGTATAATTCTTGAATTTGTTTATGCGTGCCCACAAAGATGGTCCCGTCATGTCTGAATATATGTGCGCGGGTATCTACCCTTATGCGAAATGAATCGCTTAAAAGTGGCAATAAAGGTTTCGGACGTAAGATCACTTACTAACTCTAGATGGACCGCCTTCGTGGCGAAGCATACAAAAAGTAATGTACGCCTTGTGACTCCGCGCATTTCGACGCTTTCCCTCAAGTAACAAGAGAGGCCCGGCATAGTCTACGCCGCAACGAGAGACAGATCGAGAAACGTTAACTCGGCTAGCCGGTAATGAGCCCATTAAGACTTCCAATTGATTAGGTTTGGCCCTAAAATAGGTTACACATTTCTGTATTATTCCACGTACGGTGGATCGCAATATAATAGCGGCCAAAAGCGCTGGCGCACGAAAGCCATCGTGGCTTGCAAACCCGCCTGTAAGTTTCGTGTGTGTTCACGCTCTATAATACGCTGAGTTAATATGTGTTTGCGAGGCAGGAGAATTGGATGGCACGCATTAAACGCAAGATTTGAATTTTTTAATCTCCCACCAACTCGCATTAGTCCGCTTTGATCTAAGAATGGAGCGATAAGATATTACTAGAAGTATTTACAATTTCATTCTTGCTTCATATTCGCGATGAAACGCTCGCTGTTGCGCTGTTCTGCAAATACAATCTAAAGCTGTAGATGTTTCAACGGGGGACATGAAAGTAGATATTTTGTGCTCTCGGTGAGCCTTAGATAATCTTAAACAATACGCAACGATGTGACATATTTTGTTTAAATTAGAATATTTGTTTAGTAAATCGTCAATGATGCAGGAATGGAAAGTGGAAACAGCTACGCGGATTTTCCTTTGTTCGGGAAGATCTAAATGCGGGAAGACACTGGGCCAGTGTTCTTCATCCCATTTTCGCAGAAATTCGAGGCCATTCCATCACCTCTAAGCTTCGATTAAGTCATAGGTATTTATCCCACACGATGTGTCGGCAGGGTTGTCGGGGGATGCGATATGACGCCAGAGTTCGACTTCTGTTAGGCGCTGAATTTCACTCACCCTATTTGCCACAAAGATTGACCACCGCCGCGAAGGAAGTTATCCAGTTTAATGCAATCATTGAGTTCGATCGTAGATAAGTCGAGCATTATGAGAGTTCCAAAGACTCTCTAACCTTGTTGATTAAGCGCACCAATAGTAAAGCGACCGATAGCTCTAATCGCGGTAACGAAACGGTTCTGAGCGGCGCGACACGAGACTTTGAGCACAGTAACTTGGAGTGATGGTCGTTGAGACCGAGCTTGGTGCGAAGGTATATGCATGCTCCGAACGCGCATTGGCTGGCATCGCAAAATCCGTGCACTTACACGATTGGCTGATGAACATTGAACTTAACGCATCGATGAATTTTTAATTGATTCAAATTACTCATCTGTGTTCTGAAAGCGATCCAACGAGTGTGGATGGAACGGACCTGAGGAACGGACTCGTCCCATTGGATGGTCAATTGCCACTAAATCTTGCAAGATGAGCTTTGCGATCACAATGAACGGAACCCAGAAGGCCCAAAGGATCGAACAATTTAGCGACCTCAGAAAGTATGACTCGTTTTGATACAACGTGAGATTCTGTATCAAACTTGCAGAGAAATTGAAACGTATCCTGACACTTCCATTGCAAGCCCAGAATACATGAGTCCGCAGCATTATCTCTGATAATGACCGGCAAATGATCACGATTGTTTGTTTCTAATAATTCAGAGCAATTCGAGGCCCATTTGCTTAACTCGAATGTTCCTAATTTTAATAGTTGAATAGTTTCATCGCGAATTAGTTTCAATACGTCGATTGTATCTGCTCCGGTGAGCATCGTCACAAAAATCTCGAAGGATGCATGCTGAACCGCGAGTGAATTGATGAGCGTGCTGCTAAGTGCTTAAGGCATCTGGTAACCAAGAATAACGCGGATGCTGTACCGTAAGTGACGGTAGTGAGTTCTTACGTATCGACATTAGCAGAAGGATCGTTGTGCCAGAGAATTCTCTGCAGGCGCGTCTGAAATGGATGCATTAAAATTTGCCGATACATTTTTATGATGTCAGCGGTGATGACATAAGTGAAAAAGTAGAAACGCATTAAAATTGAGATCAAATCTTGTTGAATGGTAGGTCCCACTAAAAGGGTATCGTTTAAAGATACATCGGAACTACTGCGGCAAGATGCATCGAATGCAACATGGATTTTCGATTGTCGCTTGCCCGACTGTTTTGAAGACGCAATGGTGGGAAGATAAAATGATATTGTTTCTTCCGCAATGGGTGACTCCATGCGTCGCATGTCCCAGCGATAAATATTCGTCAAGAAACGCCGCGTATTGAATTTTAAGAATAGGATCGCGCTTGAAACGTCTCTCGATGCCCCTCAATTTCTTGAGAGAAGACTCACGCGAATCGCCAATGTTATTTAACATTTGCTCTCTGATTGGAAGCTTGACTATATATCTACCCTGAGAGTTTTGAGACACGTTGTCTAAAAAGTGACGCTCGCAAATGTTTTCCTCCATTGTGTAATTGTGCGATTGTGTAGAGATGTCGTCCATTTGCCAGGCACGACTGACATGTTCGTGTAATTCCGCATTTGTTACGGACGCGTGAAACGAGTGGACCTTTGCGGCGGTCAATATGGTGCTGTCCAAACTACTCGCCAAGATCCAGCCCAGTCGCGTTTTTTGAAGAGTTGAATGCTTGTCTGAAGACTTGACTTGACCGACGTATATTAGATTCCAAAACAAGTCCATTCCGATTAAAAGATCAATATCCAACGATGTGTGAAATCGCGGATCAGCTAAACGAATGTTGCGCGGAAAATTAAATTTGTCCTGTCCCAAAGAAAACGTCGGAATTTTGCCAGTAATCCGATCAGTAACGATGCATTCGATAGCCATGGTACGAGTTGAGTCGCGATTGTAATTTGATTCCGACCACGTGATTAGTCGAGGTTACCGTGCCGTTGACGCCGCAAATCGAGAAACTTGATGGACGCGTTTCTAAACCGAGAGCTTCCACAAATTTCTTGGTTACGAAGTTCGCTTGCGATCCGCAATAGGGCTCGACACGCCCTGCGAGAGCCGTCGCTGCCACAGATGAACACAACCGCAGTCGAAAGCATGACTTGTTCGTTATTAGATGATTCTAAAGCATAATTCGATAGGTGGGAGGGAGGAGGAGTTGCCTTAGGTGTAACTTTCTTATCGGTATTGCTAGTCGATGGGTCCGCGGCAGACGGCATATGAAGTAGCGTATTGTTTTGCCTGACAGACCTTGACCGGAAGTGTATTTACTTGATGCATGAGAAGAGGAGCGCAAGCAATTGACTCAAAGTTTGCGACTGCGAATTTCCGCGAGTCTTTGTGATACTGGAAGTGCCACGAAATTTTTGCAATAATAAATGACGTGTTCTCCTTGACAGAAGTTGCATTTAGGTTTAATGATGGCCGCGCACGATGACCGCTTAGCATTTGGCTGCGATTTTGCCTCGAACTTCCTTGCGAAAGTGGAGCCAGCCCTTGTGATAGGCTCGAGCACTTGACATCGATGAGCGATAAAATCTAACAGTTGCTTAAGCGATGGCCCACTAATGAGGTTCGCCACTCGCATAACGTGAATCAAGTTTTGAGGTTAGAAGGTGAACGAGAAGATCGTCCCAATGCATCGTGGGACGCTTCAATGCCTGAAGGGCGTGCAAATGTTTTGTGGCGGTGTCAGAGAGTCTTCGGAGCTCGACTACATTTTCCCTTGTCATAATCGGCAAATTGAATATAGCACTGACGTGAGTTTGAACAATCACGCGCTTGTTGTCATACCGCTTTCTGAGGATTGACCACGCGACATCGTAATTAGCGTCTAACAATTCCAATGAACTGATTACAGCGCTTGCATCGCTGGTGAGTGACGATCGTAGATACTGAAATCTTTGTATTTGAGAGCGAGGTATTGGAATGGAACCGAGTTGAAAGTATCGAAAAACGGGAATCATTCATCATACTTGCTGGAAAATGTCGGTAAATTTAGCTTAGGCAACCGAATGTGCATACTACTATCTGATTCGCGAATACTTGAGGAGGACGGAGAAAAGATTGACGCTCGCAATGTCGACGAAGGGGAAATGAGTTCGCGGATTCTATCGAATAACGCATAGAATGCTTCCTCGAAATCGTCTCGATCGCAGCCTTCGGATTCATCTAATGATTCTAGACGCGATTGCATATCGTTATATTCCGCCCAATATAGCTCGAGTTTCGTCTTCCGCTCTTCGATTTGAGCCACTATTGACGGGTTAATGGCGGCGATTGACTCTACATAAGTTCTGATACGCGTACATTTATGGTCTGCGTTTCTGGTTGGTCAACCATCTTGAATGTGAATGCGCACGCATACACGCAACGGACGCAGCGGAAGGAACTTAGTTGGAGACAATAGTCTTCCTTACCTTGTTACGAACGCAATTAATCCTAGGAGAGGATGCGATAGATGCTAGATGCCTTCCAGTCGAACATTGGACGGAAATGTTTCTCTCGCAGATGATGCGTCGTTGAGAGATGACTTCCGTTGCACGTCGTCTGAATTGGACTTTGTTTTCCACCGTCGACAAGATTCCGCTCGTAAAATGTTGATTCTGCGCCAGGATATGACGTAATATGAACCAGGCTGCATCTCTGAAGCTTAGACGTGGGCCTTGCGACTGCTTTATAAAATTGTGTGCTGCCGCTGGTGCGATGCTTGCACTGATTGTTGCTACTGCGACGCCTTTCTCATCTCGATGTGGTATCCTTGATTGACTGCCAAATTGCTGCTCGCCACTTCACTGAGGCTAAATACTTGAAGTATCCGACTCGAAGGACCAAAGAAATGTTAGCGAGATCTTGGCCAGGCGATCACCGTTCGAGCGTTTCTCGGTATTAATACTTCGAGGGCACGGTCGAGAAAAATGAAATTTTCTCTGCTTTCTAAATTTTTAATATTAAATAGGCCTCGAGCGCGGGCGAACGTGTTTACAGCGGATACGGAAAGGATCTTAGCGGTAGTGCGGCGATGACTTTCTACGAGACAAGATGCGTACAGAAGACGAAAACAGTTTGTTTTTTTTGTTGCCAAGACGATCTGATATTATTTTTTTTTAATTTACGATTACGCGTGACGCATGCATCGTTTAGCAATCGACATCTCGTGGATTCATCGATTTTTCATAGATGCGATTAGACGATATAACTAGACGTCGTGAATCAGTAGAGATACCGAACATATTCAGTGTATCCCAAGAGAAAACACTAAGTTGGACCTCTTAATAAATAAAAATATACAAAGATGCGATCTTAAAAAAACAGGCACCAGATTTTGTTGTTTTTTTGATTCTCCAAGATAGTGCAAAGTCATATTGAAAATATAACATTGTTAAACAAATATTTATATAATCAGAACTGTATCGTCATGCGTCGCAGCGTCATGATTAAAAGTTACATGCATAGAATTTGTTGTTCGCATAAATTTGATACTAAAAATGTTTTAGGCATCATATACTATCGAAATATATCAATATTCGAATTTGTTGCTAATAAATTATAACAAGAAACAATTAGTTTATCTCGATCGTTCTCGTGCTGTGCTCTAAGATTAAATTTTTGTTTAAGAATTTATTGCTCATGTTTTTATTTAGTATCTGAATGTTCTTCGCAAGGACTTGGACCGAAATGAAATTTCGGTTCGGTTATGGTTATGACTGTATCCAATTTTCGGTATCGGTTCCGGTCTTTTTATCAATAACGATTTCGGTCTTTTTCTGTCTTTTTCGGATCGAAAAAGTCCGAAATCCAAGCGGTTTCGATTCTTTTATAACGATAATGGTGATCATAACCATTTGAATTTAAGTTTTTTTGGTATGATTATCTACTGTAAAGAAAGCATACAACAAGTATAAATTGCATATTTAAGGAAATTTATGTTAACAATATTGAATTTATTTTTGAATTTATTTTAACAATATTGAATTAGAGATAAGCACTAATCACTAAGCAGTGTAAGGCCCGTTTCTACCAATGCAGTTTAACTTTAATCTCGGTTCAACTTAGAGTCTTAGCAGAAGGCTGACTTACAATCTTTAATAACAGTTCTTGTGCGTTACTAAAGACATGAGACTTAGGCCCATTTCCACAACTCATGGTTAACTCTTAACCGAAGTTCAACTTATTCTTATTTCTTTCCAATTCTAGAATTGAATTAACCGTGAATTGTGGAACTGAGTCTTAATCATAAAATACTAAAATAAACTGTCTTAAGATTATAAGTCAGCCTTTCTGCTGACCCTAAAAATCCTTACTTCTCAGCTTTTTCTAATTTTAAGAATTAGAAAAAGATGAAGAATTAGTTGAACCGAAATTAAAGTTAAACTGCATTGACAGAAACGGGTATAAGCACTCTAATTCTAAACTAATGAAAAGTAAACAAATCATTTTCTTTCTTTCTTCGTTACTGTTTCACTTTTATTATCTTTTGCGACCTATACGTCACCTATACGTCGACTATGTTAGCAATTTATAGCGTCACGAATAATCGTTTACAGTTTTTTGATAATTTTCTAACATTATTCTTACGTAAATTATTATAATCAAGCAAAGAAAGTAACATTCCGTGGACACTCTGTAATATTGTTACTTAAAATCCTTTTTCTTTTTAAGACTCTCCTGTTGTCGCAGTGGTAACATTGGATCATGATGTCACAAGTGAGAAATGATACATTAAAGTTTCTTGCATAACATTTGTAAAGAGAATTTAGGTAGAACCAAATAATGAGATTGCTTTAAAATACTTGTAAAAATGGGCGAAGACAATCCTTACTTCCCTCTTGACCTGTTCTAAGTCAGTAAAATAGTGGCAAAAGAAACTTGACATGAAAATAGGCTACGGATATGCATTGAATAAATTTTAATAAACTTTTCGCCTTTTACAATTATTTACTGACTATGGAAGTTAAGCCTTCCTTTACTGACTATGGAAGGACAGTCTTCATCCATTTTTACAAGTGTTGCAAGAACCAACTACAGGCAAGCATTTCTTTCTCTTTCGACTGTAAAAGGAGAACACATTGTTCTTGTTGCTCATTATAGCATTTGACCGACATTTGACCGCAGGTATATATATGATTACTACATGGGGATTTGGTGACTGGGATTTGTAGACTGTAGTCGATGATCGTACATATCGAAAAAGTAAAAAATCCGAACCGAAAACTGGACTGAGAATCATTTATCTAACCGAGAAACATTTTCGATCTAGTTACGATTTCGGTCCATTAGCCTGCACAATATTTCGGTCCGACAAAAATAACAGTTATAATCCGGTTATCGATTTCGGTTTCGGTCCTTTTCAAGTCCTTGGTCCCTCGTAACATGTACTATTAAAATGTGTCAATAACCGAATTTGTTGTTCACTCTAACGCATGGAATAATTAATTTATGTGAATCGGTTCTCGCGCCAGACATTAGAGATTCCCTTGAGAGAATGTTGAAGCGATGAATGAATCGACTTAATCGATATCGATAAAACAGATTTTTAATTCCAAATAAAATATTACGTACGTCAAGAAAATGTTACATACATTAAATAAAACATTATGTACATTTCTTGCTTTGCTTCCATATATTCCATATATTCCGCACGAATACGTGATTATAAACACCCAAATCATATTTTTAGTATTATTTCTCTTGTAATCCATATTAGCACCGAAAGTTTTTCAGTACTATCTCAGAATAATTTCTATTGAAAAGTGAAACATTACATAAAAATTGCAAAAAATATTTGCAACATTTCTGAAACAGCTCTGGAATAACAAAATGGCTGCGATTTTTGCACATAAAATCTTGTTCAAATATTGTTGAATTACAGATAG